ATTATATCAACAAATATTTACTTCCTTTTTTCATAAAAAAAATCGTTCGTGTTTATTAATTTTTAATTTAACGGACTTATTTATTCCAGCAAGAATTTGCAACTGCTCTGATTGATAATTTTTTGGTCTGCACGAAAGCGATTTGGGCAAAATCATAATTCGTAAAAATTTTTTGGTCGACGAACAGACCTAATTATGCGCCATCGAACAGCTGATATAAGAACAAAATGGAAAAGAAACACTTCTGCATTGTTAAAGTTAAAGAAAATTTACATTTTGCGAAAAATCATGATTATTTGCAATAATACGTACCTATGTCTATTATTTCGTTAAAAAACCAATCGTTCGATTAAAGCAGATTTGTAATTTTCTTTCCTAAGCCTTGACAGACATTAATTAATATAAGTTTATTTACACATATGGAACTAGCAAAGAAAGCACAGACCCCTAGAAAAACTTTATGCCATAACTATCATCCAATTGCACCACCTCACATTTGCCTTTATTCTCTAGCACGCGCATCGCATTCAACAGCACCGCCTCGTCTATGCCATGGAATTCCATGCCCTCGGAATTATCACCAGATGCAATTTCATACAATGTACAAATCGTATTCATTTGTCCAGTCTGCTGTATCCAGTCATACACCATATTCGCATATTCCTCCAATGTATACCAATACACTTGCCATTCCACGCGTCGTTTATCTAGCGGAGCTGCATGTCCGGTACGTTGCAGCTGTTCCAATATGTGCAATATAGTTTCGGCTGACAAGCGTCGCTTCAATGCTTCATTGTAGAAAAGTGGAAACCCATTTTCGTTGATATTCACTTGGAATTTGTTCAAATGCTTGAGGTAGCGCAGAAAGAGATCAGACCAAACTTTTATTTGTTGATTGCGTGTCTCCTCGTGGGGCTGTAAACTGGGTGATGTGGAAGAGGCAGTAGCTGTGATTAAAAATTTTCGGGATTATTTTTAGCTGACTTACGTGAAAAATGGTGGAAATGTGTACTCCCATGGCCACTGGAATTCAGTCATTTTGTAGAGGCTTGAGAAGTGATTTTTCAAAAATCCAAAAGATGGCAAGTATGTGTATTAATGAAGTACATACAGTGCTGGTTCTTTTTAAAAAAGTTTTAACTTAAAATGCTTGCAAATTTGTTTTGTAAGTGTTTAAAAAATGTTGCGGTGTTTTGCATAGACCAGTTACACAAATGTTTATTTTTCTTTTGTCTGTTGCTATACGGCGTTGTAGTGGTAATGAAACACAGGGTGTCCTTATTTGGCAAAATAACGTAAATAATATTGCGCAATATTTCCACATGACAGCCATATACTGTGCACTTCTGCGCGCCTATTGATATCGGGGAAATCGAAATTTGTGCTTGCGCCGCGGTAGTAGGGTGCGTGCGACTTTTGAAATCGTCGGTTTTTCGCAGAGTGAATTGATTTTCAAAGAATTTCGGGCCGTCCATTTGAATTTGCACCAAATTTCGTGTCTGCACAGCTATATTTTACTTTTCCCGCTAATTTCCCACCCGTTTCACAAATAAAACACCTTTCAAAGATTACATTAAAATGATTTTAGTATATTTAAATATACATATTTTTACTTACTCTTAGAAAAAATGTATTAACATTTTTTGCTATATACTTTTCTCTTATAATCCGTATTTTGCTCATTTTTCTGTATTGTGTTCTGTGAATTTCTTCGATAAACGTTTTTTATAGATTTTCAATAATATACAAAAAGGGACCGACCAGATTTCAACTTTTAACTCCATACGCGTCAACGCATTGCAATTGCGGGCAAATGTTAGCGCATCATCAATTTTCGAAACACTCACTTTTAGCGACACAAACATGTTGATTGATACATTTCTCGTTTTGTTTTGTTTTTTTTTGCTTTCTTTTCTATTTTAAATATACGTTTATATAGATTTATTTATTCATTTAATATTTATAATATACGCCGAAACTTACAGCTAATTTACATATACATTTAAAGTGTTTACAGCATCTCTTCATTCAATATTTCTTCAGTATTTGCTCCTAGCTCACGTCTGCGGCAACAACACAATACTCATTTCGATTTAGTGTTTGTATATATATTTCTTTTTACCTTATGTATGTAGTATTAATCTTTTTCGTTTACATTATTTTTTATTTCAAATATACAAGTTACATAGGGCTATGGCAGCGTGTTAGTAAAACGAAAAACAAAAATATAACAAATAAATGCACAAAACAATTTATAATAAAAAATATTAATATACACAGCAATGAATTGCCTTATAAAGCTTACAAAACATATACAAAAATTAATTAAGCAATATTTTTTTAATTACAAGACTATCGTATCGCCGTTTTTTTTTTGCTGATTTACTGCACAATTGGAAAATAAATTTGCATTGCATTTTGATTTAGACTTATAAGGTAATAAATGCCTATATTATTACTACATCTTAGTACAATATTTATATAATCATTCTTTATTTTTTTAATCCTCTTTTTTTTTGCTAAATGTATACAAATTACACAATCCTCTGTGTGTCTGGGCAAGCGCAAATTTTTATACATTTTTATATGCTATTTTATAATTTTGAATATACTACCGTGCGCTCTCCGCCAAAATTCACACATACATACATAGGTAACTATGCAATTTCGCTCATGCTACTTTTTTTACTAAATACAGTTTTCTTTTATTACTTAAATTGTTAAGCTAATTTTCCATTTATTTTTATTTTTATTTACTTCATTTTTTGGGTGTGCGCCGTTTTTAAATAGTACAACAACATACAGAGAAAGTACACGAGTGGTTTACATTTACAGCTGACTGCTTCAAGTTTATCGACTTCTTTCTTCAACTACTATTAAACACTATTAAACGTTTCAAAATCCTGCCGTTTTCTTTGCAGTTTTTGGCTTTATTCTTTTAAAACACTAAAAAAAAAATTTTTTTTTCTAACTTGAAAGATTTTCGTAAATGGTGCGCTTTTGTAAGGAATGTTGATACGTCTTCCAAATTGCCTTGCGAGAGCGGTTAAATCAACTTCAGTGAGGCTGTGAAAAAGTGACGACTGCTGAGAATAAATTTTTTTACGTGTATATATGGCAGACTTTCACAGCCAGCGCTTAAGTTCAATGAACCACACTCCGCCCGCAATTTGGCAATACAACTATGTACATATACACATGCAATATTTGAACATTTATTTTCCTTCACTATCATAGGTCTGTGTAGCTACACTAATGTACAACTTTTTTTTGTTTAATTTTTAGTTTTTAGTTCGACAGGATACGAGTGGAGGTATTCGATAGTGTTTTAGTTTTACGTGTTAGTTTGAAGACGAGCACGAAAAGAAGGTCTATAGTGGATATTTCTCTAGTGTTGGAGGGCTGGCTGCCTTTTTTTTAGAAACGTTTAGTTTAGGGAGTTTAAGCGATTACTGGTATTTCAAAAGAGTACACCTATTACAGTTACGTTTATTTACAGTTATGTACGATTGAAGCGATTTCTTATGCACTTTACGCAGTTAACTTATAATTAAAGATGCATGTATTCTTTTTTACAAAAGGAAATAGGAAATCGAAATGGAAAAGAAACAAAATGTTTTACACTTAATTAGAAATGCTTTGGAAAGTTTGGTTGATAAAAAATACAAGAACACAAATTCGGGAAACCTAAAAAAATCAATTTCAGTTAAACAAGTAATTTTTACAAACCCGACTTCAATCCTCTTATAAAAATTTAATAGTACCGTTACTTTCTTCATGACCAAATGATCGGATCTAAACTAAATTAGTATGGGACCACCCTTGAGTCAACACCTTTCGGATAGAAAGTCATCGAAATCGGTTAACGTGGTAAAAAAAAAAAAATTCGACGAATCGATAACCTTCTCCCTTTTTTTTTAAGTCGGTTGAAAAATATTCCGACGAATCGATAACCTTCTCCTTTTTTGATGTCCGTCAAACTAAAGGCTTATGGGATTAGAAGGGAGACCAGCTTAAATTTTGAACGATTTCGATAGAAAACAAGTATTCAAATAACGAAAGTGATATACAAGGTTAGAACCAGTTTCCATTTCAACCAGTTTGAATGGAAAAAACAAGTATTCAAACGATGAAAATGTTAATAACATTTGGACCAGTTTCAATTTCGGCTAGTTTTGATTGAAAAACAAGCATTGAACGTGTTTTACAAGATTTACAGCAGTAACTCCAAATATTCGAGTAAAAAAAAATGTATTAAAGTTTGTTCGACCACATGCCAGCTTTATTTAGTTAGGGCAAGAGCTTTGAAATTGTACAGTATAAACTGAAAATAATCAAAATTGGAAACGATATTTTAAACCAGTTCGATAAATAGTGCTTAGAAAGTTAAACCCGAAGGTTCAGCATAATATAACCTCATACGAATTATTGAGACTAGAACTCGGCTGCAGAAAACGTTGGAGGCAGTAAAAAATTTTGGAAAAAAACTAAGAACTTCGTTTCAGACGTAACTTTATCAAAATTTAAATAAAAACAATTTAAAAAATTCAAAAAGTAAAATATGTAGAAAATAGCAGCCAAAAATATGCCAGAAAGTTGCCAAAGTTGTAAGTTGTCCTAAAGTAAAGAAAAATAAAACTTTTATGCCAAGTACCTGCTTGATACCAATTCGGTGTGGGTAAAAGTTTGAATTTTTGTGAAGTAAATATAGCTTTTTGTGGTACAAACGAATCGAAACTGAAATGCATCGAAATATAATATTTTTGTACCAGCAGAGTTTACCACTACGCATAATTATTATTTTTTTGTCAAATTTCAATATTATTCCTTCGAACCTTTTTAATGAATGTTTTATGCTTCAACAACAAGTGCATCAAAATTATCGAATCGAAAAATGTAAATAGTATCCGTTAGGTAAAAAAATAGGGCGACATAAAACGGAGGCAAATGTATTTGTACAGAAACTTTAGAGTAATAGAAAAAATAAAAGAAGTTGAAGCTTTGGTTTTTTCCCTATAAATCAAAATTGCATCAGCATAATAATTATAAATACAAATTGTAGAAAAAAACCTTGAATGTTTAGAACTATGTAAATGTGTGTATATCAGAACAAACAAAAAATGTTAGACCATTCATTTTAATTGAACTGAATTTAAACATTTGCATCGATGTTTATAAATTAGTTCGTAGCGTAATTTAAAATTTGCTTTATACTAAATTACCGGCTAAATTTTTTTTTTATTAATTTTTTGTCAACGACAATGCTTTATGAATAGAAAAAATTTCTTTAGAATTTGGATATTAATTATAATAATACCAAAAAATGTAAAAAATGCATTTACAAAGTATACTTCCAAACTAAAGCGTAAAGTGAGTTTCAACGAAAATTAAAAAAAAAAAAAAATTATAATAAATAGTTTTTTTCAAAGCGTCCAAAACCAGAGTAAATACTTTCTTTTAGAAAAATTATCCATAAGTAAAAACTACTGCAAAATGAAGTAAAAAATTTTCAGTAATGTATGATTCCGATCTAAAACCCAACAAAAAATAAAATCCATTATAAAAAAACTGTAATCTCCACTAGCTTTTATGTAGTTATGTATACATTTCCGGCGGCACAGCAAACAAGACTTGAAACAAAATAAAAATAAACACGCTACTAAATAGTTGCTTAAAGCTTTAAGAGTTACAACAAAATGTCTGGCGGCGAGGAAATTACGCTTTGCCGCTATCTTCTTTTTGGCTCAGCTTAGCTGGGCATCATGTATGGTGTGCAACAGCAGGAGTTCTATAGTTTATCATTAAACATTTACATGCATACGTGCATATCGGTATGTTGTATTCATTCTTTACATACTAAATTTGTTATACGTTAATAAATATCTCTATTACCTTTTGCGCTTTACACGTATAACATTCATACACTCACATCCATACAAAAAAAAATTAGTAATGCCTTCAAAGCGAGATTTAAACTAACAGCTAAAAAGCCAAACACTAGTGTCTTACGCGTATGTCTGTCTTTAAATCGGCTTTGCTTTAAATCAGCGCCGGCTTGCCTCGACGCCTGACCGCTCTGCAGCTACGCTAATTAATTTTTTTTAATTACACTACCCGACCTCCGAGGTCCGCTGCTGTTTCGCTCCTCACTTGGGCAACGGTTCCAGATAACAGCGCACTGTATTATTCTCATCAAGCATTGCAGAAATATTCCGGCCAATAATCGGCTGAGTGTGCGACGATGACGGTGTTGTTGCTGTTGTCGCCTTTAGTGTTGTTGGCGACAATTGTTGCCTCTTTGGCAGGGGATACTGTTGTTGTTGCTGATTGGCCGGCGGTAAAGGTGGTCCACCACCACCACCGCCTCCATGAGTCGTCGTGAATAGTTCGTGTACGCCTATTCGATTACTCGGTGAGATCTTTTTTAAGGCGCGTATTGATCCCGCGCCGCCACTGCCACCGCCGCTAATGCCAAAAACCGTCGCGCCTATGCCACCACCATTACCGCCTGACGCGGCTGACGATGCTGCATTGTGGTGATCAAAGTAAGCTGCTACCGCTGCTGCCTTTTCGCTCACTGTGTTCTCGGCTTTTTTGCGCTGCCTTCTGTAAAATAGCAAAATATAGGAGAAATTATTAGAATCAAGCACTGCAGCAATCAAAATTTAGCGTGACTTAAATATTTGTTGTGGCCTCTACACGCTCAAATATAACGCGTAAACTTACTAACACTACAAAACATTGAACCCCCACAATTTAAGAGATCTCATTCTACGCTAGCAAATATCTTATGTAGAAAAATTGTTCTTCAATACTCACTGAAACCGCCGCTGAAACTCTTCATCCTGCATCGCAATCAGTCGCCGCATGCGTTCGTCGCCCTGCGGCAACCCACGCCGTTGCGCGCTTTCGTCCTCTCCATCGTCTTCATTGTCGTCGTCGTCGTCCTCGTCGCTGGACGCACCACTCTCTGCATGGCCATATCGACTGCCACCTCCATTGCCACTGCTACCGGCGCCACCCAAAACACCATTTCGCGCCGCCTCATAGTGATGACGCTGACGTAGCTGTTGCTGCCTCTGTTGACGGCGCATGGCACTACCACTCTCACTATCGCAACAATTCACTTCATCGTCATCGTCGTCGTCATCATCGTGATGACCATACATATTCAAATCCATATCGTAGTGTTGGACATCGGAATTGCGATTACTGAGGATTTCCTCATATACTGGGCCATCGCCACCGCCAATGGAGTTTTGATTGTAGTACTGTTCGCTACCCGCGCGTCCGCTCGGGTCATACTCCTCATGGCTCAGATCACAGTTGGAATGCTTATTTCTATAGTAACGCTGTGTCGGCGTGTGCGCTGCGCCCATAAACTCTGGCGAGTGGTGATGGGGATAGTGGAAAGCGTGTGGTGCGGGCGCAGGCGGTGGTGGCAATTGTGAACCGGCGCGTCGACCTAAGTGCAGCAAATGCGCATGCGCTGCTGCTGCCGGCTCTAATTGTTCCTCGTCTGAGGATAGCTGTTGCTGCTGTTGATGATGTGCCGCCAACATCATGGCTGCAGATGCATGGCGACGATGTTGTTGTTGTTGCTGCTGATGTTGTTGTTGCTGTTGGTAGTAGGCAGCTGCACCAACCGCTTCGTCGTAATGAGGATACTGTTGCTGATGCTGCTGTTGTTGCTGCTTCAACGTAGTCTTCTTGTACGAGGGATAGAAGAGAATCTGCTGCAAAAAAATTATGCGTTCATAAAGAAATTAATTAATTTTTTTGTTTTTATCTGTGGGTTTACAATTTATAGACTCCATTTATTTTGAAACTCACTTGTGAGGCCGCTGTGGTGCGGCTATGCAACGAGCCGCTCAGCGAATCGCCACCAATTCCACTACCGCGCTTCTTCTTGCCATGCGGCTGATGTTTTTGCGTCCAATAAAAGAACTCATGGGCCTGCTGCGGGGAAACGGCATTACCCGGGTAGTCGCGTGGATGCGCCAAACTCAAAGCATTATTACCACCGCTCGCCTTTCCCATCGGCTGCTTCCAGCCGTAGTAGTCAGGTTGATGGTAGTACGCCTCCTGTGGCCCGCCGCCAGCTGATGTGATACCCGCGCTAATCATCTGCTGCTTCTGCCCGCCAAAAATGAGGTGCGTTGAGCCAGCCGACGAGGTAGGTGAAGTGTGACCGGCACTAGGTGTGCGCAGACCGCCACTGCCGCCCACTGAATGCAGTGTATTTCCACCTCCACCACCGCGCTCCAGCACAATATGGCCTTGCATAGCGTCAATTATAGAGTGACCGCCCTTGCCATGCTGCAACGACGACATATTCGGGCCAACGCATTTCACTGCATCCGCATCGCCATCCCCGCCGACTGAAGTCAAAGTACGCGAGTCATTCAGCTCACAATCTGAAGAAGCAATAATAGCATCCTCAGCGGCCGATATAATATTGCCGGTCTCATCCGACACTAAGCCATCACTGCTTATTGGCAATTTCGACTTCTTCAATTGTGCTGTGCTTGAAGTGCCGCGATGCGTGCCGGAAAGAGTGCCACCAGTACCACCACTGCCATTGCCCGTGCCGACACCACCAGCACTGCCAATGCCATTATTGCCCACTATGCCCGAGGAGATGGAGGCTTTCGAGCAGCGCAAACACTTAGGCAGCCAAGAGTTTTGGCGTACATATTTACGATATTCGCGACGGATCTGCAGGCAAATGTAGAAGGAATTGAATATTAGAAGTACGTTAAAAAAAAAGACGAAAATAAATGGAAATGAACTGCAGACGGTAGGACAAATCGTTACTTACTTTTTCATTTTGTATGCAATGAAACACGAAAATATACAATCCCATTAGAGTATTAAAACTAATGAAAAGATAGCCGCATACAACGGCCAATTCATCTTCCGTTTTGGAGAGACGCAAATAATAGTAGGCGGAAATCCAAACGGCGCTCAGTAACAGCAGAAATATAAATGAGCAACGAATGTCGAAACTGTGTAAAAGCAAATTTGAATGAACTCGCAAAAAGTAATAGTAAGAAATGCAATGTAAAAATGTAATTAATTGTACGGAAACGAACAAAACCATGTGAATCGATATTAATGTTTCTATAAAAACATCTATAACAATATCGATTAGAAACATATCAATAACGATATTAATAAATATATCAATACCTCGGTAAAAAATTATCAATAACTACACAAAAAACCATAATTAATTTGATAACGATTTCTTGGTAACAATGACAATAAATATATTTGGGTTGTTCACACTTGCCTGGTTATCAGGTTATCTGGTTAAAATTTATTATTCTGTAGTGTGTTATTGTTGTAAAGTGAATAGAAAATATAACCACATAACCTGATAACCAGCGAAGTGTTAACAACCCAATTGAAATAAACATCGATAAATTTATCAATATGGTATTTATTCTATTTCCACGCTTTTTATTTATATGTTTTGGATCTTGGCCTTTAATTAATTTATTGTAGAAATTTCCGTCGACCAGGCTTNTATAAATTTATCAATATGGTATTTATTCTATTTCCACGCTTTTTATTTATGTTTTTGATCTTGGCCTTTAATTAATTTATTGTAGAAATTTCCGTCGACCAGGCTTAACGATAAGTAGTCTTATTAAATAATAATTCAAAATATCGGGTCTCGAGNCACATAACCTGATAACCAGCGAAGTGTTAACAACCCAATTGAAATAAACATCTATAAATTTATCAATATGGTATTTATTCTATTTCCACGCTTTTTATTTATATGTTTTGGATCTTGGCCTTTAATTAATTTATTGTAGAAATTTCCGTCGACCAGGCTTAACGATAAGTAGTCTTATTAAATAATAATTCAAAATATCGGGTCTCGAGCTTGCGAAAAATTCTACAATATACAATTTACTTTTTTCTAAAAAGCAAAACACTTCTTATACGTACCGCACATTGGCAAGCCGCGTGTGTTCCTTATTTTTCAGTGTTGTATGACTCTTGCGGCACATAATCACCCACGACAGGAACGTGTAGCCGATGGCGCCCTTAAATGACATTACCAAATTATTGTAGGTCATTCTTAACGCCAAGGGCAGTGCCAACTTACCAGTAAAAATAGCAAAACAGGCGCCACAAAGCTCGAATAGAAAAGCGTATTTGCCTCCATTAGCACACAAAAATCATTTTGTGTATAAGTATTGGGATTAATGACCAACGAAATGGCAACAATTGTGAGCGATAGGCCATAGGATAGTAAATAGTAACAATTCACTTTAGAGGTTTGGTCAACTTCCAGTAACATGTCATCGGTGGTTAGTGTTGAGTATGATTGGAATGCTAAGGGAGATTCCGAGAAAATAAAGAAATATGTACATATGTATAAGAAAGATCTAAATACAAAAAATGTATATTAAATTTATGTATCATACGATTGTCATAACCTTAACCTGAAACGAGTTTCTAAACATATCGATAACAATATCGTTAAATTCTATCATTAAATATATTTTGCAACTAATAATGAAGCAATGAATTTTTATTTTTAATTTTTCAAAACATTCACCATAAAGCTTTTTAAGGGGTGGCCCATCTATACCTTTTTAATTTTAAATAAAACACATGAAACAGAACCGGACATCGGAATCTTTATAATTACCTAAAGGAACATTCTCTGGCATTTACTTTTTAAAAATGATTTATCGTTCTCAAATCCCTACTGCGACGCCACCCGCTACCACCATATGGCAGCACCCTCCCCAGCAGCACACAGCAAATGTCTGAAAGGCATGCAACACAACTCGCTGACACCCCACAAGGCGCTGGATACAATGCGCACCATCGAGACCGCGAGCGAGATAATGGTGGTGGCTTAGCGTTCATCACGCATCACACCGTACAGTATCGTCTCATCGAAGCAGACATCGAGCGCTGGGATACCCTCCTCGAATGTCACGGGTATTGCTATCCGGCCAGGCGATGTCGAGCTCGAAATATTTAATGTTTACATACCCCCTGTCACGACATGAGGCACCACCAGGCAGCTGCAGTTGCTCGCCAGACCATCTTCCCATAGTCATCTCGATATAAACCTGCTGACTTGGCTTTGTAACACCGAACCTACATCAAGTTTTCCAAAGCTGTTTGGAGCGGTTTCGCGGAAGTTACTGAAAGTATCTTCTCTGCCCTCCCCACACCAAACGACGTTCACGTAGGTGAGCGTAAGTTCCGCAGGGTTGTCACTGCTGCTGCAGCCCACTTCATTCCAACTGGGTGTTTTTCGAACCCCCGTCCAAATTTTCCTGCCGAAGTGGCTGCCCTAGCTGACGAGCGTGACAACCTTCGTCAGGCCAATCCCGGAAATCCCCGCATCAGGGATCTCAATGCGGAGATTCGGCAGCTTGGGCTTGTTGCAATCACAACCGCCTTGTTGTGCGAATTATTAAAGTATCACGTTCGGTTTAGATTTTTGGCAACGTTTTATCAATTGGGAAATTGCAACAGTTATGCAAATTTTCATCCGCGCTGCAGTATTGCTGCTTTTATTACGTTCCTCGAACAGGCCCCTTGTGAACGTACATAAACGGAAGAAGTGGGAAGAGAACTTGCAACTTCACCTCTGGTGTGAGTCAGCTTTGGTCGACCGTGAGGTCACTGTCCAATCCGACAAAGCGCGACGACAGAGTCTGAATCACTTTCGGCGACCACGCCTCCTCGGATACGGAGCGATGCACAAGCTATTTCCGCCGACAATTTAATTCAATCAATCAATTTATTTTGGTCTTGCGGGAGTAGACTATTTAGCCAAGCTTTTTAACCTGTCAATGGCCACTCTCGTCGTTCCCGACATCTGGAAGATGGGGAGGGTGGTCCCACTGATCAAACTGGGGAAACAAGCCAACAAAGGAGTCTTATGGCCCGATAACTCTCCTTTCCCCGGTAGCGAAGACACTGGTGGTCTTGCTGCTCCCTCATTTTACGAACCACCTGACCCCAGCGAAGCATCAACATGGATTCACATGCACAGCACAACAACAGCACTTAACACCATAAACACTAAGATAACACGTGGCCTAAACCGTAACCGCCCCTGTGAAAGGACTATTCTAGTAGCGTTGAATCTGTCAGAAGCGTTTGATACCGTCAGTCACTCCACACTGCTAGAAGACATAGAGGCCTCCTCTCTCCGGCAGAGCCTCAAACGGTGGTCGGCGAATTATCTGAGTGGTCGACGCTCGTCAGTAATGTTTAGAGACAACTTGAGCAAATCCAGGAAAATAAAACAGTGGGTTCCATAGGGTGGTGTTCTTACCCCACTACTGTTTAACTTCTACATTTCAAAGCTCCCTCAACCGCCAGAGGGAGTCTCGATTGTCTCTTACGCCGACGACTGCTCGATAATGGCCACTGGGAATAGGGTTGATGACTTGTCCTCGAAAGTAAACGGTAACCTCTCCGATATTTCTCGCTTCTTTACTGCAAGGAGCTTAGCCCTATCCCCTACAAAATCCTCAGCTACCCTATTCACCACCTGGACGATGGAGGTCAAACTGCAGCTGGTTATTCAACTCGATGACAAACCAGTTCCTAAGGTGAATAACCCGAAAATGCTCGGAGTGACTTTCGACAGTCTTCTCTCGCTAGCCGGCAGCACCTGGGGCAGACAAAGAAACATTGCTGGTAACATACAAGCCTATTGACCGGTCGGTTCTAAGCTACGCAGAGCCAGTCTGGTCGCCGGGGACCAGTAGGACGCAGTGGATGAAGTTGCAGACAACTCAGACCACAGCACTCCGGACAGCGACCGATGCGCAAATGCTCCTCATTAAGGAGCACAATACAATGCTCGGCATGCAATTCTTAGTAGGGGCACCGAAATTGCGCATATGGAAACTGTGCATTTAGACATTA